ACTTGGTGAGTTCCCTGGAACACCGGGGACACATATTCATGTACAAAAGACGTGCAAAAGTGCATTTTGCATGATAAGTCACCTTTAAGTCACTAAAACCTAAGAAGTTTGAAGTTTGTTCAAAAAGTGTTGCTGTTTTTATTTAAATATTTGTTGAGGTTTTTTTGCAATGAGTATACTTTAACTCCTAGTAATTTAAGTATATTTTCCCACTTGAGCCCCTGAACTCAAATGAGTTGGACCCCCTGGTCTAATTGTCCAGAGACATCCGGGTTATAAATGACACTGATCACAGTTTGCGTCCCGTACGCTGTACTCCAATAGAGGGCGGCTGAAATCCAGTGGTGGGTGATTTAGATCCCTGACTGGAGCTGAGCAGTGCTTTTTAATCCATTTACATTACTATAGTAACCTAATAAAAGCCTGCTATGTAGTCTCTTCTCCCCTAATGCTCTTGATGTGCAGCAGCCTATGGATGCTTTATGACGAGCTCTTTATGCTTCATACCCACAGGCCAGATGCCAGAGCTTTATGGAAGCAATGATGCAAGCTTTATCAGATTATAGGTCAGATGGACAGGAATATATGTTCATGTACAGCACAGCACCAGACAGAACAACATATGTCAGGAGTTTTAGAGATAAGAGCATGATAGTGTCAAGCCAAGCAGTTTAAACTGAGGCTGTGGAGACAAATATTATAAAACAAATTGGGGTAGAGATGGAACCAGTCATTTGGTTTTGATCCAAACCCAAAAAATATAAAAAAGGCAGAGCCGCCAATTAAAATGGAAAAACAGCTTATCATGTAGGGGAGAGCCATGGGTCATGATTTATTGAGTGGATGCATCATTGATAGGATCCTTCTGAATACATTTTCATTACCGTCAAATATTGAACCTCTTTTCTAATGTTGTCTAATTAATGATTCACAAGCCTGTTTAAAAAGCCATTTATTAGGAGTTTTAGGGATTTTGTGGCAAAAGATCATATTTTACAGTGTGTAATATTCCTGCACAGAATTTGATCTAACATGAGATGGATCTGCTTGTTGGTATCGATCCTGTTAGTGCTAGATAGGGCCGACATTTGTCCAAAAGCTTTTATCCCAAAATAGGTCATTTCATATCTCTATAATGAAGCATATAGTACAGCATGCTCTGTTCTAACTCAATACACAACAAGTCTAAAAGCCTATTTGTGTGTGCTCCTGTGTGAATCAAAAACTTGACGTATTAAACGTTCCAAGTGTCACTATAGAGGGTACGTTTAGTTTGACAATAGTTTGATATAATAAGAGGTTGATCATATTGTTAATTAAATATGTTGTTTATTGTACTGTACTGAACTATTGCGCAGCCCTAATGCTTCAATATATATTTAGAACAAGACTTAGTAGTTCATTAATAGCAGTATTTTAATTCAGACATCTGAAATATTTGAATTTGATTTAATGGAGCAGCCGTACAAATTCAAAGTTTGAATATTCAACTAATCAAACAGCTTCATTAAAGGGCTGGACCAAAATGATAGAGAATAAACGTGTTATTGTTGCACAGTGTGGAATATAATGATTTCAACAACCTTACTTAAAGAGGAAATTAATGGTTAAATAGATGTTAAGGCAACAACGAAGGAGGAGAATTAAGAGGCCACATGTGTCCGATAAGAAAACATATCACACCAATCCAATTTTAAAATGGCTGTGAATGAAATCCCTCAGTCCTCCTCCATCATAAAGGCCTTCGTTAGCAGAAGGTAAGCAGCTGCCAAGTTTCACTTCCTCTGCCGTACTCTCTCTGTTTATGTGCTATGTTAGCACACAGTGGAGGCCTATCAGTTTCCCCCCTGCAAGACTGATTTATGGCCAGCATTAGCATGTTTACGAGATGCCACCAAGCTACAAAAAAAAAAAAAAAGCCTGGACTTTTTCGCTGTTACTCAGCAAGAAGTGGTGTTGCATTGCAGCACTGAGGTTCAGACAGAGAGGGGATGGAGTTACAGTGGACAGTCACCAGTCTCCAAAGCAGCTCTTTAATATGAGTACTGCATCTAATGTATTATATTTAACAACACAATCTGTTGGGAGGCAGAGAAAGAGAGCTTTACATGCTGAGCAGTGGCAGACGGTAACTAATTACATTTACTCGAGTACAATTCTTAAGTTTGGACATCATTGTACTTCATTCATTCATATAAACATAGATACCTTTTCAATTTCAATATTTAACTTAACTTCTCTTTGTTTATATATATAAATCTTTATTTTATTCTGAAATGTTACACTATATAAACACATGATATGCTGATATGATGCAGTACTGTACAACCAATCAAGCCAGAATTTTTACAAAGTATCTAAAATGGACTCCACATTGACAAACTACAACATTAAAATGTATTTTTAATGATAAAAACGGAATAATATAATATTATTTAATAATAATGACTCTGAAAAGTGCTGTTCTGCATATTCAGAACTTTTACTTTGGATGGTCTAAGTCTATTTTTATTTATAATAATATCTTTTAGGAAATTGTACTTTTAATGGAGGATTTTAAGACCAGAGTCTAGTTTTGATTAAGTACCCGAGTACTTCTTGCACCTCTGAGGCTGAGTCATTGCTAAAGCCTACAAACATTAGTCCAGATCTGTAAAACGCTCCCCATATCCCCCTGACTTTTAGACCACCTGCTCCAAGATACACACCGCACGGACAGCTATTAATATATGAATAAATAAGAATAAGATTCACATTGTCAGCCTGACAAGGTGATTGCAAAGGCGAAAATCCAAATCTCCAGCCTCACACAAAGCACTGAAGTGAACGCTCTCTGACATAGTGAGTGTGTGTTATATGTTGCCGTACACACACACACACACACACACACACACACGTTTACAGTGAGGCTAGAGCAGCATGTGGTCCATCCTGAGAGCAGCGCTCGCCTGATGGTTGCCAGGATACTGTTGGCCTGGTGATATCGTCGAAGATGTGGAGGAAAAGGCATCGAGCTCTGCTCACACACTCGGGTCAGTTTCATAACAGTGATCTGATGCATCAATCTTTTAAACAGCAATCAGTCTTTGCAGAACACAAACATTGTTACCAAGCCTTGAAAAAAAAACAGGAAATGAAGAATCGAACGAACACTTCTCTATTTCTTACCCTGTTTTCCTACGAGTGTTTCGCCTTTTCCTTTATCTTTATTCCCCTGTTTCCGTCTTCCCTGCTTGGTGAAATCGTTGCTGTGAGTAAATCCCAGGTTAAGCCGTCTCAGAGCGATACATTCAATCCCACCGTGGCACTGGTTTCATAGAGACTGATGCTAACTTCTCCCTCTGCCTCTGTGTATCTCTGTCCACTTCACACTTCTCTTTTTCAACCATCTATTTAAAGCCTTTGTGGTTTTCTCTATTTGCTCTGCGTGCTAGATGCCGCTCTTTGTTTTGTGTTTTTCATGCTGTTTGTAGAACACGATATAGTCTGCCGGTTATTGAGCATTAGATATGTTCAACGTTATTTACATTTCTGTCTTCTTCCTCTGGCTGTTTCGTCCTCGTCTGTGTCTTTTCAACTCTAAAAGAGAAAACTAAACGCACTCTTTTAGTTTCTGATGACAGAACGAGTTCCTCAAAAATATCCCCTCCGGCTCTCCTTTCTGCCTCACTTCTCTATTTCACCACTCAGCGCCACTTTCCCGGATCTTCTGGTGTCGTCTTGTCATCGAACATTTCTGTCATTCAGTCTCACTATTGGCCCAAAGGTGCAAACAAATCTAAGGGGCAAAACGTTACATTTCCTCTTAAACTCAATAATCTCCATTACACACAAGCCGCTGGATATATCACAGGCTGACTGTTTGAACATTTAGGCATTTTGTGAACTAGGAAGTGTGTTTGGTGGCCACTGGTTAGAGTTTCTCTCAATGTTTGCAGTCAGCCAGAGTGAAAGTGGAGCAAAGTGCTTGTCTTATGCAACTCAGCAGCACACAGCTCTCATCTGTAGTCCGGCATGAGAAACCAAATCAAAGGGGGCTCCTCGAGTCCTAATAAAGACACTGCTCAGCTCCCACATTGCGGCTGAAAAGCAAACCTGGTCCAGACCGGGAGCCAAGCAGGCAGAACGAGGCCTGCCGAGCTTCCTTTCAGCTCGCTCTGAAAGCTTCCTCCTGTTACAGCCCAGGAGCTTCACTGCTGTGGATTTACTGAACAGAATAGCTTGTCTTTGCCAAGTCTAACCACTATTAACTCACCAATAACACAATCTGACTGTGTGTCTTTCTCTCTGCCTCTAAACCACAATGATCTCTCTTTCTGTCACACACAGGCTGAATGGGTAACCAGGCAGCATTTTTACTCTTTTAGTAACTATCCATCCCCCCGTATACCATTTGAGCAGTTTCACTGCTGTGTGCTTTTAAAAAATGTATTTTCCGATTCCTTAATATTCATTCCTACCTTAGCTTGTGTTTATCCCTCTAAAACACTTCACTGCATCAACCAGCGCTTGTCAGCTCCACACAGTGGTTACAGCATCAGCAGCCACCACCTGACAAAGAGACAGAGAAAGAGAAATCAACATAATATTCAACATCATGTGCAGTGTGTCGGGGGAAAGCAAAACAAGAATGTAGGAGCCTTTAAATGTTGTTCTTAACTTGGAGTCTAACAAGGGCAAAGGCAGGAGTATAACAAGAAAGAGTGTAATAAATAAAATCAATGTTTATGGCGTAATTTAAACTAAATACACTGTTTTAATTTAAAGCTGTTTTATTCTGAAAACCAGAAGTTTACATACACTTTTCTAATTTAAAATTGCTTTATTCTGAAAACCGGATGTTCGTAAATATCACTATCAAATGTCACTTCTGGAAGTGACATTAGCATACATGCTAATGCTAACCAGAACCAAATGACACGTGCTGTTGCACACTAAACACACTGTCTTTAACCCTCACTTATTGACGCTGCAATACTGTAATAACCACAGATATTAGAATATTGTAAATGTAATCAGGAAAAGACAGGATATGCCTTGGACCCGCCCCCCCTCGACGCCGGCCAATAGGAGAAGACTACAGTTGATAACACGTGGAGATGGGGAGAAATCGCTCACTTTCAACTCAGCTGGCCGGCCGGCCACAGCTGGTGGGGGGAGCCACCTCTCTTGCACATTTTCATTTGTATAATCGTATCATTTGTTTAATTAAATGATTTTAACTTTTATAGAAGCTTCCTTGGACTCTTTTCAGTTAACCCTGTTCTCGGGGTTAGGAATTCCTAACAAGAGCAAATTAACATAAGAGTGAAAAACATGAATTAGCCTAAGTAATCAGGCTGCTGCTTGTAGGCTACTGGCCTTTGAGGTCAAATCTAACTGTACACATAGGTTGATAGTCCCCACACATTAGCATAGCCTACATATACAACAAGCAGATAGAGCAATGTTGGCATACATTTAAAGTTGCAAATGTGTGAATGTAAATCCAATATTATTGCTCCTTAAGGGAGCTTAAGGAGCAATAATATTGGATTTACATTCACACATTTGCAACTTTAAATGTATGCCAACATTGCTCTATCTGCTTGTTGTATATGTAGGCTATGCTAANTCATAGGAGGAGTATTTGGATGTGAGCTGCTGCGATGTTGATGGTGTGATGGAGTGTTTTTGTGGGTGTGGTTTGTCATTATCACACACTCTCTAGTCCCACTCTCAGAGCTCTCTGCTGCTGAAAGCTGTTTCTATGATGGTATAAATACACGGTGCGTAGGTTTTATAGTGAGGAAAACAAGCTTCAGTATGAACCAAAAGCAGTTGTATTAAAGAGAGGAGTTTTTATACTGTTACCGCTTGAACTGATTTACTTTTGAACAGTCAGCTTAAACTCCTCAGTGTAAAATCTTTATTTTATGGGATTACATTTTACTCATTATTTCTCAACAACCAGGAAATGGAAACACATTTTTATTTGAAGATTATTTCAAATTATTTGACCACGATACAATCTCAAGTCATAACTGCATACAAACTACAAGGGCTCCATTAACACACATTTGATCCCATACAAAATCAGATTTTTGAGTGAAAATAATAAATAATTATAGTATTTTATTTTTTGAATTCATTTAATTTCTAATCCAATTATTGTCCTTATTATTATTATTATTATTTATTTATTTTCATTAAATAATAACACAAAATAATATATTAAAATGTGTAGGAGGACTACATTCTAAAATGTACATTATTTAACATCAAATTCTACAAAATAAAAATGTAAGTTTAGTTAGTCTCTTCTCTTGTTACCATTCACATATTCTTTATAACATGTTGACCTTTTTAAACTTGAAGATTGCCATCACCACAATAGTCATTATGAATCCAACAAGTTACTAATACTACCGTACTGTAGGAGTGGGATTAAAGAAGCTCTGTGTCCACGTTGCCATGCTTCACCCAGGACATACATCCACCATCCCAACAGCCGCTCATCCAGCCCCCCACCCCAACACCTTCACCTCTCACACACACACACCACACACACACACACACACACACACACACACACACACTGAACACGCGCACAACCCCGAGACCCGTCCCCTCATCACCCACAGAAATGTCCCCTCTCTCTGTTCCAGGGGGCTCATGGGAAACCTCCTGAAAGTGCTGGCTTGCGCCGAACTTGAGCATGGCCCAATAGTTTTCCTTGACTTTGAACGTGAGACCATCCGCTTCTTATTTTTTTGAGTTGTCCTTTTGCTCTTTGTTGCCTTTCGGCTTTGCTTTCCCTCATTCCATTTATTTCAGCTGGACATTGAGTCATCTTTACGACGTCCTTCTTCGCCCCCCAGCTCTTCTCCTCCTCCTCCTCCTCCTCCTCCCTGTTGTTTTATCTTTTGATTTCTGCTCCAGGGACTGGCTTTCTTTTTCTGAAGGGTCTTATTCACACACGACACATCTTATTAGACGCAGACAGATGCACAATGGCATGTTGACGCTGTGGCACAACGACAACAATAATGCTTTGATCCCGGCTCCTAAGCTACAGACAAAACTGAGACAAATCTGAAAAGCAAATGCCAGTCCTGTGTGGGTTTCTGTTGCTCGGGGATGAAGATGGCTGACAAAAAGCTTATCGTCATCCCTCCACCTCCTCATCTCCTCATGCCCTATTGTGTGCCTGACCAATCTGTGTGTGTGTGTGTGCTGAATAGTGTGTGTGTGTCAGAGAGTGAGACTGATAAAGGGAAACTAAAAGATATAGGGAAAGAAGTGCGCAAATAAAAGCACCTCTTTGCCCCCTTTTCTCTCAATTTCCCAGTCAGTGTATTTTAAACTTTGCAATGTGAAAATGTCCATCTCAACAAGTCATTTAAAAAAATATATTTTGTGAAAGTTTAAAACAACTGACCTCAATCACTGGGACTAACTCAGGGATTCTCAGCAAAAAAATGAATACCAAAAAAAGTCTTCTATTTCTAATATCATGCCAATCTTTTTCCTCTCAACAAAAATGGACCACAGTGTGCAAACTAAGAGTAATCTTTGAAATCAAATCCTACTGGAGAGTCTGATTATGTGACTAAATGATTTGTTTAGATGGAGATGTTTCGCGGTGAAACCCAACATATTCTGCTCCTCCTCCTCAAAACACTTTCCCCCTTCAACAGCTGCCTTCCTCCTCCCGCGCCTCCTTCACTGACTGCATGTAAGCGTGGGAGAGCTCAATGCTGGCAGGAGACGTCAGCTGTCAAACAGGCTGAATTTCTCCCCCCCCCCTTCATTTAATATGCCTGTGATTCATTTTTACTTCAAAAGCAAGTGGAGTGAGTCAGAATCAGGCATGGCTTTAGATACGTCCTCTCCCCCTCCTCACCCATCCACCGCGGTGCCATCTGTGACGCCTCCCCCCCTCCCCCTCGCCCAGAGACAGTCACCTCTGTCACACAACTCCAAGTTTGAATCACTGAGCTCTCATTAACCTATGTATAGCTGAATGCTCATTATTATACCACGCTAAAACCTTTAGAAGGATCGGGACACATACATAGGCCTATATTTATTTATTTTTGGATACTTTCTTATTTAAAGGTTAAGTCTTAGACATTAAACATGATGCCTCAAAATAGTATAATCTTCTTTTTATTACACTCTACACCCAACTTTTTTCTTAAGGTAAAAAATTTAGTTGCTTCAATTACAACAGAGCCGGCCAGCTAACCAATCAGAGCAGACTGGGCTCTGCTTTCAGACAGAGGGTGAAAAGAGGTGCTGCAGCACAGGCAGTATGAGCCTTTTGAACATTACAGCATGGACACATGTCACAGGAAAGGAAATGCAAAGAAAGATTAATTGAATCCTATTAAAAAATGATCAAAAACTTTAACTGAAAAGCAAGGCCATTTCTCCTACTTCCAGTCGTTATGCTAAGCTAAGCTAACGTTCTCCTGGCTCCAGGTTTATATTAAGTAAACAGATGTAAGAGTTTCATACATTTCTGATATAACTTGGCAAAAACTAACTACAGATAACCTATTCCTTTAATACTATGAGAAAAAATGCATTCTCATTTAAGTTTTTTATTGCACTTATATTGTTGTTCGCCACAGAAAAGCAGAAGCAGGTTAGTGAGAAGTCCTCACCAAATAAACCGTGCTTGCTGCGCTTATTATGTCACGTATAGCAAATATCCCATGATTACAATTTCTCTGCAGGAAGGCCTCAGGGTGCAGAAATAAACTGGGGTGCCATATCAAAAGAGAAGCCCATACCTGAATCACACTTTGTGACGGATAATTGGAGGGGAAACACAATGATGACTCACATTATTGTCCCTGCTCTAACACCTAATCCCTCCAGTCTGCGTGCAGCGCGACACATGGGCAAACAAAGCAGAAGTGACTGGGAGGAGCCCTGCGGCAGAAAACACTGAGTTTACAGTATGCTTAGTGAGGGAAACTGAGAGAGGGAAAAGAGTGATCATACCCAGCGGTTTTCCTCCCTGCTGCTTGTTTGTTTAAACATTTATCACAATTACACCTCAAGGGCGAGTCTCTACACATTTAGAGAGTGAGAAAAAAATGGATTAGACCGTTACATAAGGGACAATTACACCTCTCAGAGTGTGTACATCTCCAGTGAATAAACAAACACAACTTTTTACTGCGCCTGAAAACCATCAAACTATCAGCTGTTACATCATCATAAAAATAGTTCCCTGAGGAGAAAGTCACTTGTTATCTCCTGGTCATTATTGACTGACCACACACTGTAATCAAACCTCGCTGTGTGACAGAGGGTGATTTACAGGTCTCTTGGTACATTATAATGTGGGTAGATTGGAGTTATTCACTATAGTGGCCAGATTATGACATTAAGTGGCTGCAATGTCCACTATCAGGATATAATACAGTCACTTTCTTTAACAGCAGTCATGTAGGGAGTGATTCGTTATCTGGCCTTCTCTGCTTTCATCACTAACCTCATTCTTTCCTCAAATCTCTCATGTTCTCCACTCCCCGTCATGTTCCCTTTCCTCTTTTTCTGCCGCCTCCCCTCAAAAATGTTCTTACCTTACATCACACTTTCACTTCCCACTCTCTCTCTCTTCCTCTTTACTCTTCTCCCTCCCCCTCCTCCTCACAGATGCCCAGCCCACGGAGGCGGAGACGGCGGTGTGGAACCAGGTCAGCGCCGTGCTGGAGGAGGCTCATGGGATCCTGGCCGAGCTGCAGTCCTACAACGGGGCGGGCCAGGAGATACGAGAAGTGGGTCCATCAGTGCTGAACATCCATAAAATACAGTTTAGTCGAGCCACTAACAGTGTGTGGTTCACATGGCCTTTAATGATGAATAGTTTCCTACACAGATAGAGCCACCCAAGGTGTCCTGCTCCAAGTTGAAGGACATGTAGACAAAGACATTTATTACATTTTAAAAAACAAACATTTCATGCAACATGTTTTGTTTGTTTTGGGCAATTTCATGTTAATTTGTTTCTTGGATCATTTTCAAATTATATAATACAAATATATATTTTTTTCTTATTCTTTATTTCACTGCTATTAGTATTGTTTTTTGTTTGATTATTGGGTGATTTTGCTCAATTACTATGTGAATATATTTTCAAAAAAACCTTTTGTGCAATATTTATAGTTTTCTTTTGTCAATTTAAACTGTACCTAGTTCTTGGATTTGTTTTGTTATTGACACAAATATGACTTCATTTAGTAAACAATGTCTGACACCAGATGAGACTTCAATTATAGTATTATTTGTTTAGTAAAACATTTAATTTTTGGGTTTTTCATTTATTTATTTAACTGCCAACTATTAGTATTATTATCTTTGTTGGATTTTTGGGGTGATTTGCTTCATACTCTGGAAACTCTTTACTTTTAACAAACATTTCATAAAATAGTGTGTTTTTTTAATTGCTCTGGTAGAAGCATGAACATCAACCATCAGAAAGCTGGTGTTGAAGAACACAGAGCTTTATTGTGCTCAGATTCAGAGAGACATTTCTACTGAGCAGTTCCCTGAACCATTGCTGCTTATTGCTCAGCTGTGAGCATTGTTCTCTATTTGTCAGGACTTAATAGTTTCCTTTCCTGACTTCCTTATCTTGAACACTTAGAGACTTTTATTAAGCTGCTTAGGCATTCATAAAATGTACATGGCCAGCATATGTTATTGATATTGTCCATATGACGATAGAGTATCTGAATCTTTTGCTTTATATATGCATGTTTGATAGTTTGGTTAAGTATATTTCATAATATATATATATATCAATAAACACATTGATATCTCATTAGATGGATATTCGATTGCATATCAGTAAAACTAAATGACGTTTTGCTGATGAATGACATTTGATAGAGAGGATTTGTTACATTCTTGCTAAACTGTAATCACTTTAATATGGAAAGGATATATTTCTCTCATAACGTGACATATGGCTTTAAGGAAGAGAGGGAAAAGGAGATTGGAAGGTGTTATATTTGTAAATCCTTCCTGGAGACTAACATCTGTGTTGCTCGCCTGCAGGCCATCCAGAACCCGGGCGACCTCGCTCTGCAGGAGAAGGCCTGGAACGCAGTCTGCCCCCTGGTGGCCAAACTGAAGCGCTTCTACGAGTTCTCCCTCAGACTGGGTGAGCACGGCTACATTCAGTCTATAGAGTCATTCATGGTGATGTAACACTCTCTGGTGGCCATATTGGAGGTCCAATGAGAGCTGGAGTTATAGCTGCTGTAACCTCAATCTACAATTAGTAAGAGCGTTTTCTGCCAGCCAGTCAGAATATCTCTCTGAACCTCAAATAAGAGGCAGATTCATGTTAAGGTGATCAAAAGTGAGACTCTCGTTGTTACTATGGTTAGAAGTTCAAATTGTCAGTTTCTGCGTGTCACTATCCTGATTTGACAAGCGATCACACACACACACACACACACACACACACACACACACACACACACACACACACACACACACACACACACACACACACACACACACACACACACACACACACGATGTCCTCCCAGCCATCTCTGCAGCATCCTGACCTAGCAGCCAGGCAGCCGTTGCTACGGAAACAGTGGTACATGGTCTTCCAGCACAAAGAGAGGGACGAGTGTGAGCAGAAAAATTTAGTTGACGCCTCTGCTCTACCATCCAATAATACTTCTGTGTCATGGACATTATGTTCTCGGCTAAGAAAGAGAGCAAGGTAATAATTTAGGATAATGTATCTGCGCTAATGTGGCTAGGAGGTGTAGCACAACAGAAGTTTGTAGACGGTGAATCCATATGGAGAGAAGGGGATATTCACACAGTAGATCCCTTGCCTTCACTGAGTTATTTATTGGACAACAAGATATTTACAGTAAACAATCCATCATATATCCCCTCAGGAGTCAGTGCTCCAGTTAGGGACTTCAGTGCTAACAGCAGGAGGGAAGGTCTCTGGCCCTTTAGATGAAACACTTCAGCGCTGTATTTATAGAAGGCCTTGTGCATTTTTAATGCAGAGGAAGGGATGGGGCCCCAGGGGACTTCTAAGGCTTTACACAGAGCTTCTGAGGTCCGGCTCGGTCTGATTCGTTAGAGGCAGCAAAGGCTGAGGTTCAATAACATATGTGACACGGGGGATGCACGGTCACTGATACAGTGTCCACAAGGATGCTCAGGCTGTGAGATCAGATGCAGGGTGATCTGTGTGGAGGAAAGGTTCAGTATATGTTCATTTAGTTGGTCTGGAAATGTATTTTTAATGCAGATAGGGAGCTGCTGAACTGCAGGACCTCTGGAGCCCGCTTGAGGTGTAAGGTTACATTCGCTGCTTCTAGCATAACTATGGAATGTATATATAAAGAGTATAACACAACCAAAATGTCCGACAAACTGTTGGTACTTCAGGTTGCATTAAGGGATCACTCTTATGATATTAGTCACTCACCAAATTGCTAGAGGTGTTAGTGGATGATATGTCTCAGTCTGTTCAGTCACACCTAAGTCAGACAGTAACACAAACAAAAAATGTAACAGATTGAGGAAGTGGGCGTTTTTGTGTTCTGGAAAATAAAAATGATTGTTTTTGTCAATGGAGTCTGGTGGATTTAAAGAAAGCATAGATAACTGCTGCCTTTCCCCATCAGAAAGGAATGTTTGACTGCAAGGTAAAACAGGGAAAAATGCAAAACATAGCCTACAAACTGGCATTTCATTTATTCGGTTGGCCTTATTTTGAGTGGCTTGAATAGGTGTTGCTACATTGCTTATTTTCTGTATAACTCCTCTCTGTGTCTCTAAACTGAGGGCGTGCACACTCCCACCTACACTAAGAATAAATACATTATACAACTGCATATTCAAATGTCAAAACCATCACTTCAAAGCCAAGCAACCTGACAAAGAAATGTTAAAAGAACTCCACACAGAGTTTTAAAGACATGTCCCAAAGCTTGAGGGCTCCAACGCTCAATTTCTGGTCACATGAAATATGAAACCCTGTTTGAGAGTCTGCTCTCAGACAGTGGTTCAAACAAAGGTCTGTGAAAGTGCCTGAGGCCGGATCCCTCTGCGCTTCAACAGAGCCGGGTCGGTATCTAAAAGCCCAACAGGTATCCAGTGATGTCCAGAAAGAATGTGACAGATATACAGGGAAGGGATTTCATCTTTTTGAACCCGTTAAAATCCATCCGCTGCTGCATTTTGATTTAATGTGGTGACATGAAAGAGATCAGAGAAGCCAGATTAGAGAGAATTACAGCTGTCTGAACATAAGGGGATACAAGTCTGCAGGAAGCAGCGATGGAAGAAGACCTTTGACTCAAGTTAAAGCAGCAAAATTAAAACGTAAAATATTCTCTTACAAGTAACAGTCCTGCTTTCAAAATCTTACTAAAGTAAAAGTAGAAAAGGATTGGCATCAAAATAAGTACTTATTTGGTAAAGCCAATTTCAGAATCACTAGATTATAATTATAATGCAAACATTTCCCAAATTAGGATCGATAAAGTGCTTCTTATCTTATCTTATAATATTAGATAAAAACAATAAATGTGTAAAAATGTGTATATTACAAGACATACAGTGGCGTAATAGCACTGATACAGATATTAAGGATAACAAATACATTATTGCTCAAAATGTCACAATGTATTACAGTAGTATTCCTTAGCGTTGTTATTAGTATTTTATAATTGCACAGGTTATACAGTGTTGTCCATACTGCACAGATTTAAGAGGGTCTTCCTGAGTAAATGCACTTCATACCTTTCCCCCCTGGCCGTATGACGTGTAGTTTCCCGCTTGCAGACACTTTAGTGACATTAGTTGTGTTTTCAGAGAACGCCCTGCGCAGCCTGCTGGAGGCGCTCACAAGCCCTCCGTACGCCCCCATGCAGCACCTGGAGAGAGAGCAGGCGCTGGCCAAACAGTTCGCTGAGATCCTGCATTTCACACTCAGCTTTGATGAGCTAAAGGTGAGGGGGATTTATTTATTATTAGTAGTATGTATTTCTTTATTCAGTAAAGGCAAAGATACACATAAATGTCCATGTGATGAAATGACAAAACAATAAAATAAAATAAAAACATTAACATAAATAATATTATTAAATACAATACATTAATAATATTAAATTGATATTAAATACATTAATAAAGAAAATAATAATAATAATACAAATAATAAAATTACAAATATAATAAAATAAAGGAATAAAAAGAATAATATTAAATAATACAAAAATAATAATAATAATAATAATAAAATACTTAAAATACAATAAGAAAAGAATATCAAATAAATTAAATAATAATAATATTAAATGAAAAATAGTAAATCTAGGTTGAAAAAACCCACACACTTGACATGCAGCAAACACTTATTATTATTATTATAATCAAACCGTATGTTAGTGCTAATTTTGTCCCATTGCATGTAGTGTGTTTGCACAACAAAATTGGCTATGCAATGTGTTGTCTATAGATTTGTTTGGCGTGATTACCTCAGAGAGTGACCTTTACTGTGCCGAGTAATCAATATACCGTGAAATAATTTCCTCTCTCACCGTGTAGATGACAAATCCAGCCATTCAGAACGACTTCAGCTACTACAGGAGGACTATAAGCAGGAACCGGCTGAACAACCAGCAGGTGAGAGGATCTGTTTACACTCAGCTTTCCTTTCCCTCTTGAATTATTAATGATTTAAGTGGAAGTGTTTCTGTCCTCCTAACAACACAACGAGACGAACAATCAACAATGTGTCCGTCAGTGGAGTTACTCAGATTAGAGCCTGTCTGATTTGACCGACTGGATGTTATTGGATGACATTAATGATTCATGCTTTCTAATGCGTTTTGTATTGGCGCACAGCTGGAGGCGGAGAACGAGGTCAACAATGAGATGGCCAATCGGATGTCTCTGTTCTACGCTGAGGCAACACCAATGCTGAAGACTCTGAGTAACGCCACCACCAAGTTTGTGTCAGAGGTACATTTACAATTTCGATGGATAAGTGTATTTTTATCGAGACTTGGATAACACAAAGAGTTGTTATTTTCAGAACTGAGGTTGTCAAGATTTAAAGAGGACATATGATACGAAAATGTCAAACTTCATCTTAGTATCTCTCCAAATGACTCAAGAACTACCTTTGCCAATAATCATAATAATAATCATGTTTTTTTTGCCTGCCAATCAGAGCAGTTTTATTGTTTACAGGATAGAGACTCAAATACTTTCAAACAGAAACGAAAGAATAAATATTGTTTATTTTTTTCACATTTAAGTATTCAAACAATTTGAGTAGATGGAAAATACAAGTATAAACCTGAAAATGTGCATTATATTTCACCTTTAATTGAAATAAATAAGTGTTGGTTTTAAATATTGCCATTGAAATGAGTCATCCAACGACAATCACATTCAGACTAACAAAATGAATGATAAGTGAAGCCAATATGTGCTAGACCAGAGGACATGAAGACTAGGTACAGAGCACAGGATACACTAGTGAGTCAAATGTGATGTATACTGCACCTCACCATCGAAAATATTTAGAAATATATTTACACTGTACAAATTATGCTTTCATTAATAACTTTATACTATTCCTTATACAACATCTCCACAATAAGGTGAAGTCAATAGATGCCCTTGCACGCTTGACCTTAATTGCAGCATGCAAGCCTTTGGCAATAAAACTTCTCCACCTCTTGACATAAGTGATATTTGAGACAAAATGTAGAGAACAAGGGGGTCAGGATTGCCTCTTAGAAAAGTTACTTGCATTCTTTAAACGTTTCCAAGCTATGCAGAGATTGTCTCCACCTTGTGGTAGGGCATTGTGTTCCCTCAGCACAGAAACAACAGAAGGCAGTGAATGTTCTCTGTATTTAAATACTTTTATTTTTAGGCATAGGGACTTTTTATCTGTTCTAAATTGTATTATTTTTGGTCCTTCAGAATAAGACCTTGCCCATAGAGGACACCACAGACTGTCTGAGCACGATGGCCTGTGTGTGCCGTGTCATGCTGGAGACTCCGTGAGTATTTTCCTTCATCCTCCAAAGGTCATACTCTTAGTTATTAATAAAGCCTTTTCTATCTAACTCAAAGAGACATTCTCAAGTGTGACTCACAATTTCAACAGACTTCATCACACTGACATTCACACAGAGAATCATTCATAGAGTCCTTCACGTTTTATTTAAAATCCTCTTTATGAGTTGTCTTTATATGAATAGAAAGTCATCAGTAATTTTTCAAGGAGATCAGGAAGTGCCTGAAATAGCAGCAGCATTAGTGTGTGACCTGGACTGTTCTCTGGTGTTATTCAACTGTTTTCTTTTTGCTGAACTCTTCTCTTCTGTTTGTGTAACAGGGAGTACCGCTGTCGGTTCACCAACACAGACACCATGCTGTTCTGCATGAGGGTGATGGTGGGAGTCATCATCCTCTACGACCACGTTCACCCCGTCGGGGCTTTTGCCAAGACCTCCAAAATCGATGTGAGTGCACACACATAACCAGTGTCTAAAAACAGACGAACGTCTCTGTGACTTCTGCCTGGCAACACTGTTAAACACTTCCTTTAAAATGTATATTTGATTGAATTGGAAACTGAATGACATTAATAGCCTTCGTTAGGCGTTTTCTGTACGTAATGAAGTACTGTACCTTATAAAATAACATATATATTTAAAGGGGATTGTTTGCAGTTTTGAACACAAATACTTTTATTATATGTTGTACTGTGAACCCTTGCACATATATTGGACATTTTTGCACATTTTATGCAATTAACTTTATACATTGAAATGCTTCATATTGTACATATTTTTTGTAATATTTGTAATGTATTTCTCTTATATATTTATGTTGTATGTTCCTTGTAGAAAGCCTACTTGGTAACAAATCAGAAGTACCCAGAGAGTAGTGCCAAACGATTATACTTTACAGACCATAAAACTTCACACCAGAAACATGAATACTTCACATTTTTCGATTATTTAACACAACTTCTAATAATAATTATGATACAAAAGATGGCTATCCTGCCAATGGATTTAAGAACAATTACTCACCATTAGCCTGGGTATTGATGCAATGTGTGAAACTCTCCAAAGGGTTCCCACGGTAAATCTGAGGGGTCACAAGATAACTGAAGACAGACAGAAAAAGTCAATGTTTTATCTTTTAATAATTTACCTTTTGAAGTTCTGGAAATAGTAGATCAAGGAGCCTGAGGAGCAACAATCACTCTTCAAATAAAACTGCTCACAACTCCAAACACAGACCATCACCTGAGAGGAAAAGGAGATAATGCTTCACTTTGAACAGTAGCAAATATCAAGTCCCAGGCTCCTCCAACAAAGCAACATAAATATGTAAATAAGACCTTAAAAATAAAAATAAAAACAATAGATAATAGTACAAGAAGTAACAGAATAGGAACAAAATAGTGCAAGAGAGTGTTGCATGACCGATGGTCAAGGAATGCAGAACTATATCCACAATAGGTTAAACTTTAAGCTACCTCTATAAATAAGTGTTTTGCTGCTGTAGTGGAGACGCTGACCTTTAACTAACACACTCTTTCTCTGTGCAGATGAAGGGCTGCATCAAGGTGCTGAAAGAGCAACCGTCCAACAGTGTGGAGGGGCTTCTGAACGCGCTGAGGTGTGCAGGAACCAGAAAGAGATACTAGACACAGATTCCCCTGAGTTGCTCCCGATGTGTGATGGCCAACGGTGTGTGAATGTGTGTGAATGTTAGGCCCCGTCCACACGGACACGAAACGGGTTGTATCCGCTACAGTTCTCTATCGTATGGACGGTTCGTTCACACGAGGCCGTAACGGAACCGCGGAAACGGGATCCCTCAAACGGTAACGGAGTCCCAAGGTGGATAGATCTGCGGACGAAAACGCTCTGGGGGGCCAAACGGCTCAATCGTCGTGTACGTCCATACAATCATTCCTGATAACGTGAAGCCATAGCCCCGCCTCTCGCCACCTACTGACTGCTCCCACCCCCGCAGTCACCGCTGATGTGTTTTCGCACGCTCCAACAAACAACAAACAACAACAGCTGTTCGAGTGTTTCGAGCCACGGTCCCCGGTATCTCGCAGGACAGTGCACCCCAGCAGGAGCCTCCAGCAGACCCCCCCGGCACGAGTTTCACTTGTTCCTTGGAAGAGTGGAGAGGTGGGCGTGTTTTTCAATCTGGTGGTGGGAGACTTACACGGGCGAGGAACGTCCTGCTCGGTGTGCCCGGCTCAATTAGT